TATGCGTGTGACTTATTCACACCGGACAAAAGGCTGTTAAGCACTTTGGTCAAGCGTGCATAAAACACGTCGCAAACTGACTGTTTCATACCAGCCTCATCGATACCGATGTTTTGTGACATACCCAGGTATCGGTATGTTTCAGCCTCGGAAAGGGTCCTTAAGTTGACGGGCATAGACAAGTCTACGCCCTCAGAGTTAGCAACCCTTCCCCCTTCAACATGGGGGACCGCACACTTATCCGTCCCAAGCTCCATTCCAATGGAATTGCTAAATTAACAAGTGATGTTTAGCAATTCCATAAGATGGGAGCGACTGGAGGCGAATAACTTGAGGTCATCCATATAGAAAAGGTGGGTCACTTTTGTCCCTCCTTTCCGTAGCTGAAATCCCCTCCCGGAGCCCTCCAGTAAGGTACTGAGAGGGTTCAGAGAGAGGCAGAACCAGATTGGACTCAGACAATCGCCCTGGAAGATACCCCTTCTTATCCTTATGTGGTTCTCCGCAGCCATCATCCGCTCGCCCAGATGACAAAGGATCGTACTCCACTGCCCCATACACTGCTCGAGGAAGTCTCTAACTGTACAGTCTATCTTGTACAGCTCGAGAACTCTCTTTAGCCATGTATGGGGCACCGAGTCGAATGCCTTTCTGTAGTCTATCCAGGCGGCAGAGAAGTTCCGACGGTTGCGTTTCACCACTTTGCCTATGACCGCGTCAATGAGGAGTGGTTCCTTGGTTCCACGACCACCGCCCCGACATCCATTTTGAGCGCGCGACATCAACTGATTTGAGCTCCAGGTGCCGAGTGATTCTCGCGCTCAAAATGGATGTTAGTGTCTTGTATATGGTGGGTAGACACGTGATGGGGCGGTATTTGCTCGGGTCTGTGGTACCCTGATCTTTAGGAACCAAATGAGTGATCCCAGTAGTGAAGAGGCTCGGGAGCGACTTCTGGTCGAGAGCCTCTTGAAACTGTCGGGCGAGCACAGAGTGACACACTATGAACCCCTTCAGCCAGTGGAATGATGCAGCCCGTCGAGCCCCGGACTTTTCCAGTTCGGGGCCCTACGGACCGCCTCAGCCACGTCATCCGGCGTTACGGTGACGGGGTCCATGGGCGTAATACTCGCACCCTGGCTCGCCACAACTTCCGTCCAAGGGCCCTCGCTGTGGTTTACGGGCTCTGACCACAGGCCACGCCAGAATGCGACAGTGTCGGCCTGATCCGGTCCTGGACCCGCTCCACTTACCTTTGGCCGCTCCAATGATTCATAGAGCCTCTTCTGATCACTCTGGAAGAGACGATTCTGGTTGAACCGTGCCTCGACCTCTCGGTAAATCGCCGAATCCGCTTCCCCCAAGCAGCGATCTTTTGCTTCAGGTCGTCTATGCGCTCCGTTAGTTTTTGCGTTATATCCGGCTGGGACAAACTGACATTTGTCCCAGCAAACGCCATCCTAACGGTGCGCACAATTCTTGGACTGTTATTGCCCGACCTGAAGCTTATCAGTCTGCCGATGAGAGCCCTAGCCTTTGCGATACGTTCCTCGATTCTTCTTCTCCAGGCTGGGATGGCGCTACTATGGCTAGTAGCGCGTCCAGCCATGGAAAGTTTGGCGCCAATAATACGGCAAGCTGCCAGCGCGGCGCCAAAAAGAATTGAGTCCGTCTCGCAAAGGTCCCGGCTGGCTTCCAAATAGATCACCAGCATTGGGTTAAGAGCCCTCACGACAGCCCGATTCCGCTTGCTTAGGGGTATGCGGGGAAGTCGCGGTCGATTTTCGATAGGCGTACTGCGCGTTTCCACAATCGCCTCTTCCAGTATACTCCTCATATTCTCTAATTCCAGTTCCTGGGAGACTATTCCATCGTCGTTCGAATCAACCACAACTGGGGTATCCACGGCGGCATCCACGTGATGCTGGTCTGCTCGAATTTGTGGAGCCGCATCTCCAGCCATAGCCATTTCATCCGACGAGGGAATAGCCTCACGTCGTAGCCGTTCGAGTTCGGCGTCATCAAATATTTTCGAGCGCATGATGTACCGAACTCGGTCTGCCAGGTTTTGTTCCGTGACGGGGTTAAAGATGGCTCCAGCTCAGCAAAAAAGACAATGCATCCGAGCCCGATACGCCAAACATCCCACAGTTTCTTCCCCTTTCGCCCTAAAGTACGCCCGCAATGCGTTTTCATTCATAGCTTGTGACCAACGCATGCGACGTGCTCCACCAGCGGCGGGTGCCGCTTGCTGAGTCCGAGAAGACCCAGCCGACACCAAGCCTTCTGGTGGGGATGATGGATGCGGAGGGGCTGCTAGGTGACCGTGCAGCTCCTCGCGCTCGGCTGGCGGCCCGCATGCTGCCGCGTCCAGCGCCAGCTCCAGACGCGCCCCGGCGACCCCCAGGCAGCGGCCCTTTGCGCAGTATCTTCTTATCCATCATCCATTATATGGGCGTCAATTAACGAGAGACGCCCAAGCCCGGCACCGTTTCGTGGTTGTGGCCATATGCACAAACGGGCCTCTGCACCCTACAATTCTGCCGAGGCACGGCGCTCACACCTCTTCGCAGGGCGCTGACTGACTGCGCCGACGTAGCAGTTTTGTCACATAACTGTTACGTCAGCGGGCGATGGGGTCGTCACTTCCCTACGCCGATTATTATTATTATTATTATTATATATGATTTCGTAGATAGAAGAGGAGTTCCTTGAGCCAGGCTGTGACGACGGACTAGTGTGTCGCCAAGGCGTGTGCCAGGACATCCACGCACTTCGGGCCTCAACTTCTCGTCAGAAGAGGAACTACATTTACGTAGAAGCCTATGGTAATATGTCATGCGTTACCAATACTGGTTATTTAGGAGTTGAACTAGGACACATTATTTTTATTTCTTACGCGGATATTAACTTCTTAATTTAAAAAAAAATTGGTTCACCCTGCAGGTCATCCCTGGAACTTTCTGATTTCAAATGCAAAGCGCTCCAAATTACCTACCTATACAATTACAAACAAACAAAAACAAAAAATAACAAACTACCTATACAATTTTGAAAAGCCACGTTTTTTAATTTTTTCAAAATTGAATGTTTCACGAACAAATCAACCGATTTTAATGCGGTTCACTGCAATCGACGTCATTTGCTGAGTAGAAGAGCTGATTAAATTATAGAACACAAGGGGGTCGAAGTAATTCAAACTAAACTACTTTTTGAAATTTAAAATTACTCAAGTTTTTGAGGTTTTCTCAGAATCTATCTTGACGATTCGGTCTAAATTCCCAGGAATTCTCAGTTCAGCGAGGCTTTTTCAGATGCCGCAAACCGCTTTTCGATCAGACACTCATACTCATTTACATATTTACATACATACACACATATAGATATACGAACATCATTGTAAAAATAGCCAGAACAGCTTCCTAGGATCTCAGCGTTGTGATCTGATGAGAACTCGATTTTCAAAAATAGGAGTGAATACAAAAATTTCACGATTTTTTTAAGTGGATGCTGTGATCTATAAACATCTACGTTTATCCTCGATTAAGAATCAAATTGCAGATGCGTTGTCACCCCTGAGAACAAGATGGAATGCATCGTTTCCAGTAAAGAGGGTCTCCGGTTCTCTACACTCACCATACGAAACACAGCAGGCTTATGCTGCTATTTTACGCTGTTATTCTGTGAGTGTGGTCCTAACCCGGTCGAGCCGACCCATTCGTACTATAACTAATATAGCAGCGTGGCTCTACCACATATAAAGTATAAGTATGCACTATATTAATAATATATTACTACTCTGCGGGTATCCATATCCGTAAAGTAACGTCTGATTCTATTGATTATTATTTCTTTGCCAGTTTTATACGACGATTATATATAACATTTAACTAATAGTATGGGCGAGTCCACACCTACTTTATTTTATTTTATTTTATTAATAAGGCACACAATCAGATTGAAGACAATACAAAACACATTTATAGTAACAAAAATATTATAACTAGTCCATAATCCAGTAAAGTGTGCACAGAACAAAATATGACAACAAGTATGACAGAAAAATAAACTAATAATACATAGTATGAGTGACAGTTAAAAAAAAAGAACTTATTTAATGATATCCGTGAAATTTACATATTTAACGTAGCAGTTAGAGAGCTTTTAAATTGTGAAATGTTAGAATTAAAAATGTCTAGATCAGCGTTACGATGTCTCAGCTCGTCAAAATTTCGACACATTCTAATGACCGGATTAAAGAAAGACGTGTTGTTTCTGTAAACATCAAGGCGAAAGATACGCGGGTTACGCAGACGGGATCGACCGTTAAAATTAATTAAATTAAGCCATTCTGGGCAATCGATGGAGGAATCAATGACCTACAATGCTAGCTAATATTTTAGAGCCTTGCAAACAAGAGATGAAATATTTTAAGAAGAAATACGGAGTCATGGGCCACTTACACCACGAGGCGCCTCAGTGTACGCCGCTTTGGCTTTATGCACCCGTGCAGGTATTTATTTTTTCTTTCTTAGCAACTTACTCTATTGTAAACAGCAAATTAAAGTTACAGCCTATATACGTCCCAATTGGGTGCCCCAATTCGAAAATCCCTAAGTCCTAATTAGGGATTTTTTGCACTAGTAACACAGGTTGATTGGCCGTTTTTTCTCTATCGATACGTCCAACAATTTTTTTGTTATGATATACCTAAGTGGGTTTTTGAAAATTACAAAAATTTAAATTGACGATAATTTCAGTTCCAAAAATCCCTAAGTCAAATAAATCCCTTAGTCCATAAGTTTTTACCGAAAAAGGACTAAATTAAAATCAAAATGAATATTTTAAAATCTTGCAACATTATGATGCAGGTTTAAACTTGATCGTTTTTTTTCTCTCTGAGGTGTTCAGTGAAATCTTTTGAATTATTACCCTCTTTCCGTGTTGCAAAGTTATTGGTGCCAAAGTGTTACGAATAATAGTGAAACATAACTATTATTATGGATTCTGAGGACAAATTATCAAGGTAAGTTCGTAATATGAGCGAAAAACGTGTGTTTGGCTTTCTATTGCAAAGTTAAATAAGTAATAATATTTCAGACTTATACAAGAGTCCGGATTGTTTAACGAGATTTCTTCTGATGAGGAATGGACTCCAGATAATTTTAAAATAAATGATGCGGATAAGAAATTAAAATTGTCAGGAGCATGGTCAGCCACAAACATAGATATATATACAGATCTTTCGCCTTCGTGTTCTTATAGTACGGCACACATGGAAGTAGAACAAAATGAAGCATTGGATGTCGAACTTAATTCCCTATCTGAGTCTAGACCTTCTGAAAACCTTGTTGAACCGTTGCAAATTATTGAAGAGGACCCAGTTACTGACTCTAATATCTCCGTTAAAAATATAACTGATAGAAAAATAATAAGATTGAACTGCGAAACTGGAAATTTTGAAACAGATTCAGAAGAATCAGAGGTAGAAGTAGAAGAAAAAATCAAGAAAGGAAATAAAAGAGTTGCAAAGCCAGAGATGTGGGAAAAAAATATATCAAGGAAAAGAAAAATACAGGATCATACATTACGTGAAATAAATGACTGTCGCTGTAAATGTAAAGATAAGTTAACGAAAAAAACCATGGAAGCAATAAATAAAAAATTTGTTAGTTTTGAAAATCACTCGCAACAAAATATATATTTACAGGGCTGTCTTGAATAAATAGTACCAACTGGATTCCGACCTCGTACTGAAGTCAAAAACGAAGCTAGAAATCGGCGAGTATTTAAGTACTATGTTACTTTCAAGGGTAAGAAGATCGAATTATGTCAGCAGGCCTTTTTAGCTGTACATGGAATAAAGAGAGACCGATTAAAATGCAAAGTACAGCATTTTGAAAAAGACATTACTGATGGTCGAGGACGTGAACCAAGCAAGATAATATACACTGAGGCTGTAATTAAAAGAATTCATTCATTTAAAGAAAATATCCCCGCAAGAGCGTCACACTATTCTCGATCTTCTAGCAAACATAGGATCTATGTTGATTCTCATCTTAATATTGCTAAACTTCACCGCGATTTTCTTTTCTTCACTTATGAAAAATTTCGAGAAATTTTTAATACAGATTTTAATATTTCGTTCGCAGTTCCTCGTAAAGATATATGTAGCACTTGTGAAAAATTTCAAGTAGATATTCAATCTGCTGAAATTATGAAAGACAAGGATAAAGTTTCAAGTTTAAAATCGGAACGTGAATTGCACTTGCGCAAAGGCGAAGTATTTTTGAAAAAGTGTAGTAGTTCAGAAAAGGAAGACAAAAATTAGAATAAAAACAAATTATCTATTTGCTTTGATTTTCAAAAGAATCTGCACTTGCCGGTCACTAATGTAACTGATGAATATTATCTCAGGCAATTATGGCTTCATAATTTTGGTATACATAACTTAAAAGAAAACTCAGCAACTATGTACTTGTTTACGGAAAATTATGCCCATAAAGGGCCGAATGAAGTAATAACTGCTTTGGATGATTATTTTTTACACCATAAAATCCCAGATCAGACACATTTAGAAATAATTTGTGATAATTGTTTCAGTCAAAATAAAAGCAGATTTATTTTTACGTATTTTGATCAGTTGTATGCGAAAGGCTTATTTGAAACAATTTCTGTAAACTATCCAATTCCTGGGCATTCAATGATGCCCATTGATAGAGATTTTGCTCTCATAGAAAGACAAAAATTAAAACATGAAAAAATTTATGAACCTGACAGTTATGTCAATTTTGTATTAAACAGTAGACATGCCAAGAAATTTGAAGTTGTATTTTTAGAAAAGAACCTAATAGAACGAGGGCAAATAGATAGGAGCGGAGAACAGCGAGAAGAACAACGAGGTAACGAAAGAGTATTGAAAGTTAAAGATTATAAAACTTATTATAATGATAATATTAAACAAACAATACCGGAAATTTCAGGTTGTCGTCGAGTTTTATTTAAAAGACATGCAAAGCCAGCCTTTTCTGATTCAATGACCGGCGATAACTTTAAAGATTTTTCTTTATATAGAGTTGGTATATCTAGTTATCTATGAGATGTTCCTGCTGATTGTTATCAAAATGCTATTAAAATTAAAGAAGCTAAAATTAATGACTTTAAAAAACTTATTCAATTTGTACCACAAGAAAAAGAAAATTGTATGAAATTTTGATTATGGAACAGGCTAAATTAGATTAAAGTCAAATTGTTGAGGAATTGGATGACAAAATAGAGTAACTAGCCTAGTTATTTTTAAAGGTTAATAGGTATTACTCATTTTGATTAATAGAATATTGTTAAAGAAGCCAATTTTGTTTTGTTAAATTCTTTAGTCCTTAAAAAGAGGGAAAGATAACCCTAAGTCCTGTTGATTTAAGTCCAAAATTTTGTTTCTTAAATTAAAGTTATTATAAATGCTTTTTATGTTTTGTTTTATGTGCTAAAATAAAGAGTATTTTGTGTACTATAACAGTATGTTATTTTAATATCAACATGACCTGTGGTTAGTTTTCAAAAAAATTAAATATATTTTTTTTATATTCCCAAAAACTGAAAAAGTGGACGTAGCCATTTCTCGATTTGGAGCACCCAATTCTTGCCTCAAGCCCACTCTTATGTATTTCTGAGAGGGATTTAGGGCAAAAAATGTCCGTAAAGCGTGTTGGCGGCAGAAGCGGATTAAATATTGACAGCGCCCAAGTCTATTTCTTCGACGTCCCTCTGGTGACCATATATTAAAAATTGTGTGTATTTATATAGTTTTGTATTTATAAGCATTACAATACTCTCACAGGAACTAATGTTCCACTTGGCTTTTGAAGTGTTTACCGTAATTACTCTTGTGTATAATCCATCCAATACCTTTAAACGAGCAATTCTTGTATACATATAATCGGAATCTCGGAAACGGCTCCAACGATTTTCATGAAATTTAGTATGCAGGTAGTTTTGGGGGCAATAAATCGAACTAGTTAGGACTCATTTTTAGAAAATTTCCTTTTATCCATATTTTAAGGCAATAAAAAACTGCTACAATATCATTAGAGTACAAAAGTAAATTTTGCTGGTGCCTATAAGTTTACAACAGCGCAAATGGAATATCAGGCGGTCGTGAAATCTTAGTACGCCGGTTCGAGTCCAAATGTCTCCGGTCTGACTCTTTTTTCCTTTTTTTTGTGAGAAAATATATTATTTTGAGTGCTTTTTTTTAGTATTTTTTAAAACACGAAAATTTAAATCAAACTAATTGCACTCATGATTTTTTATTCAAATATCTAACCGTTTAGTTTTTTCTATTATGTCAGTAAGACCAATAAACATTATTCATATTCCATCAGTATGTAATTTGTATCTAAATATAATTTCCAAAACGACGATTTAAAAAAAAAAACGAGCAATGCTCGGTCATCCAGGTAGAGAGGTTTCTCTATAGAAATTCATGCAAGTAGGTTGTACTTACTTGGTTGTTTTTCGTTTAAAACCGCGCGCACTTTTCAACCGACTTCAAAAAAAAGCAGGTTCTCGATTCGACTGTATGTTTTTTTGCGTGTTATCACAGAACATTTTTCTAGGTAAACCGATATTGATGATTCTTTATTTGAAAGCTGGTGCTTTTCATGTAGTCCCATATAAATTTGATCATAATTTGACCAGTAGTTATCGCTAATAATGAGTATTTAAATGAATTCGATCACATTGATGGTGATCTCATTTTGTTTATATTGAAGTCGGTTGTACAAAATTTTTAATTTTACCACCTGTTACTTGCGTCCCTAAGCACGTGCTTAGTTTGCATTAAGGATAATTTGCGGCTGGTTGGCGGACATCACATGACTTTGCAATTTTTCTTCTCAGACACGCAAGTTCTTCACAATATTTTCCTTCACTACCGTGCACGGGGTATAACTAAAGTGATCATTTTTTTCCTCAGAGCGAGACACCTTTAAAGTTATTATAGTTTTAATATTTTTGACTGTATTCTTGGTCTAACGGTTGTAAACGCAATTGCTGATCATGTGGTCCCGAGTCGGGCCAAGAATCATTTATTGGGGTTTTCTGTCATAAATTCTCAGTAGCAGCCCGAAATATTGATTTCGAACTTATTGAAGTTGGCGGGGTTACACCACCATGCCTCCGGAAGCACGTAAAGCCGTTGGTCCTGCGCCTGATCTCTCTCCCGTCGTCTTGGATTATCGTTCCATCACTATAAGAGTGAGGGAGTAGGGTAGACCAGTGCTTTCGCGTACACTTCGACAATAAAATCCTGTCCTGCACAGATGGCTATTCTCCGTTGCGAATGGCCACCGTTACCAAAGTTCAATCTGGAACCCTTTACTACAGTTTTAAAAATAAAACATATAGTTGTTTGAATCTTTTAATGATCAAAAGTGAGAATGAGAATTTAGAATCATATAAAATCTGGCTACTGGCTTTTTATTTTTTATAATTTATTGTAGATTAATTGAAAAATTGTCACTTCGTAACTTCAAGTTTAAAATTGTAGGTTTTCAGAATAATCACGTAACTAGTCAGGCCATGCAGGCAAACCTGGTACGCGCGGTGTCATAATGATGGCACGGGTGACAGTTTGCATGATGCTACGGTTTTATTTGTCAAGCGGGACATTTTTATGTATTTTGGGGACAGCGGGACACAAACCTTTAAACCAGGACCATCCTGCCTAAAGTTGGATGTATGATCACGTTAGACACTTAAAATTGCGATTATATTGGCTGCTTGTGTAATTTGAAATTTACAGCAGGCGCTTTGTCCTTGAACTATCATGACTTAATGCAACCACTGCGCACCTATTTACTACTCCACATTAGTACTAACTGTAACAATATTGTGGGATCACACTGCAACCATGCTATGGTTGCAGCTCGAATGGGCTGGCTCGATTGGAAAAGGACCACGCTCTCGCAGTATACCAGAGTAAAATAGCCGCGTATTGCTGCTGTATTTCGTATGGTGAGTGTAGAGAACTGAAGAACTACAGTATACTCTAAGCTTTTTTACTAGTTTACGTTAACAACGTATATCTGCATTTTGATTATGTACTAGGGATGGGCAAGTGAAAAGAATAAATCGATATGTATCGATATTTTACACAGTATCGAAAAGTATCGATATATATCGCTTGAGATATATACAAATGTTTTGCTTAAATGTAGTAGGTTGATGGGCAAAATTTTCTTACTGGACGTTTGAACGGCATAAAAAACCAACAGCACATGAATGCTTTTACAGTTGCTTTTCTTACTTAATTGTTTTTAATTTTTTTTTATAACAGAAACTGTAACAAGTTCATAGTTCAGCTTGTAAATGGACAATCTGACTTTCACCTCTGAATTGTGGTTTCCACATCTAATATAGATAGACTTAAAGAAAAGCCTAAGGATCGAAAGATAGGCGTTGTCAAACTTGAGGTTTAAAACCTGAGGTTTAAGATGGAATGTCTTTGTTACTAGTAAAAAGTGTCTCCTGTTCTCGGCATTCATCATATAAAACACAACATCATTGTGCTTCTATTTCACACTGATATTTTGTGGGTGGTACGTAACCATGTATAAAATGTGTTCAAGTTAGGGAACTATTAATATTATAATAACTTCAGTTATATTTTTCGTTATTGCAAGCCGTGGTATCACAGAGACTAAGCGTTGGTTGTAAATTTCATAGTACGCATTCAACTCAGGTTAATGTTTTTGTTTCTTATAGTTTGTGGTTTAATGCCAATTCGACGTTTGAAAAGTTTAGAGAAACGTTCGGTAACTTATTAAACGTAGTAAATATTGTCTAAACGCGTTGTGTACCGATTTACTTTATGTATAATTTTGTTTGTAATTTTTATCGCTCCCATTTTGTTGTTAACTCCATTCCATAGTAAGTATTCAATGTTAATATGCAGCATTGATTAAAACTACTTTTACGGATTTTATCGCGTTTATTTATGTTATTTTTAATTCCCGATGTTTCAGATGCTTTTCAGCACCCATGGTCACATTATATATATATATATATATATATATATATATATATATATATACATATAATATATATTATATATGCTATGTTAGTTATATTATTTCTACCCTATATACACTATTATTCTTTTCTTTCTGCCAATGAAACTGTTCACCGCTGGCACTAACGAAAATGTTAAAATAGCAATTTTTAGTGCTGAATTACTACGTCCTCGGCGATGAAACATTGTGAGAAAACCTGCATGTCTAAGGATTTTCGAAAGACATGTGAAGCTAGTCAGCCAGCACGAATTGGAGTAAC